TCTCTCTCTCTCTCTCTCTCTGTCTCAAAAATAAACATTAAAATTTTTTCAAATAAATGTAGTTGCCATATGGTAAGAATTAAAGTTTACAGAGGAGTGGGAATGACAGAAGAAAACCCAGGAGACAGAGTTCAGTCAAGTAACACTCCTAGAGGCAAATGCTGGATGGCAGGGACAGCTCCCTCGGGGGTGCTGGGGTTTTTGCATATATTATTTCTAATCTCAAAACCTCCCTTAAAAAAAGCTATAGAGTCAGAAAACAGATCAGTGGTGGCCAGGGGCTGTGGCTGGTGGTGTGGGACACTGCTAATGGTTATGGGGTTTCCTTTTGGGGTAATGAAAATTGGATTGTATTGTGGTGATGGCTGCACACATGATGAATGTACTAAACGCCCCTGAATTGCACACTTTAAAGAGGGAAGTTTATGACATGTGAATTATATCTCAATAAAGTTACTGACAAAAACCACCCTTAGGAGTTACAGGTGAAGAAACTGAGGCTCAGAAAGGTTGCGAATCTTGTGAAAAATGACCCAACCAATGGGGGCCAAGCTAGGGCTTGAACTTGACGTCCATGTCCATTATCCCACAACACCCATGAAAGCTGGTCCAGAATCCCCAGAGGCCCAATCATGAAATAAGGCCAGGGAGCTCCTCTCTGTAACTAAAATCCTCATTCTAGGCATGAGATGATGTGCCATAAAAAAAGATTCCTGGGAGAATGGTATGTCAGTGCAGATTACTTTTTAACTGAGGTGGCATGAAGGTATCCTTCCATGTGGCATCAGGAAACAAGCAAATATAGAGATGATGAGTGAAAAGTTAAGTATATATCAGGAACTGTAGTCAAATGTGTGCTCAAATGTGTGCAATTCATGGCCATACAGTGGCCATACAGCAATTAAATGTGAGGAACCCTGGCATGCTGGAAAGGGCATGGGAGCTTAAGAGATGGTAGGGATGGGATTAACTAGATAAAAGAGATTGGAACAGGATGGAATTAACTAGATAAAAAGTCCTTAAGGGCTTTGCCAGCTCTGTAAAGAGGAATGCTCTTAGAATTTCACTAAAGAAAGCTTGTGGTCTACCAAGAAAAAAAGTTAGGCAGAAGGGCATGGCACTGGAAGTAGGATGTAGGATGAATTAACAATAAAGGGGAACACAAAGGTACCAACTTAGGTAGAACAGCTTGAAATCATGTCTGTGGGCAATTATATCATTCATCCATTCAATAAATGATTACACAGAAACAATTCTGGGCCAAGTCCTGGATGAGGTATGGGGGATTCAGGATCATGGAAGGATCTGAGACTTGCTCTTACCTGTCATAGCATGAAGACACTGGCTTCCCAGAGGATACCTCACTAGCATTCATGTATTCCTTCATGAAGAGAATCCCTTTGCTGTAAAAGAAGCACAGTGAAACAGAAAGAGGTATACTGAAAGATTCCAGGGCACTGGGTCTTGCCCAAAGCAGGGTCCCAAGGCTGGGAGGAAGTGAAGGAGCTTATGGTAAGCCCTGGAGGTAGAGGCACTGATGGGCTCTAACTGCCACCAGGCAAGGAAAATGGCAAACAGGAGCTGCTGCACTGTTGAGTGTACTATTGACTGGGCTGAAATTGGAGGCTGTGGGTTCAGCTTGCTGTGTACAAATGTGAGAGTCCTAGAAAAAGGCTCCGTGCAATCAATGTCAACATGCTTTCCTTCATGAAGATCTCTATACTATGGGAGGCTTGTCCCCCACCTCCCCAGACTGCAGTAAAGTGAACTTCCTATCTTCCTCTCTGACTGCATTTTCTTTCCCTTTTGCCCTGGCTCCGGATAGTTTCCAAACTGCAGCCATAGACTGTTGGTCCTCGCCACTCTGTGTGAATCTCTAGCAACAATAAAATCTCTCCCTTCTCAATCCTAGATAGGCCTGTGGCAAAACTGGAAGTCAGCATCATGTTTGGCTTACCATGGCCCTGAATTTGACCTTTATCAAGCTGGCTTGATGTTACCAGAGAGTGCTCTGATCTCCTTGCCCTCCCCATACACACACATCATTCAGCCTTCCAGCAATAGCTAATACTGCAGGTGAGGCCAGGAGTGTAGGTGAAGCAGTAAATAATGTGAGAGAGACAGACATAGGCCCTGGCCTCAGTGGGCTTTCTCTGGCCTTACCACATGTTTCTCAAGAGATATTATTAGCAAGGTCCTACAGATGGCAGAGCACCAGGAATTGACATTGGGATAGGGGGAAGGGGATACAATGAGACTCTGTCCAGGCTTACAAACAGGACTTTAAATTGGGGAGATCTGGACTACACTATGTGGTCCCTTAACCAATGGGATTCTGGGAATTGGGGGTGGCACTAGAGCTAATATTAGGGAAGTGACATGGGGCAAAAACCAAGTCGTTTAGCTCTTGGGGGGATATAGCCCAGAGAACACCTCCCAGGTTGTCTCTTATTACCTGGTCGTTTAGCTCTTGGGGGGATATAGCCCAGAGAACACCTCCCAGGTTGTCTCTTATTACCTGGTTGAAATGGAGTCCAATTCACTTGGGGAGGCTGGGATGTAAACATGAGGCTGCTCAGTAGAAGGAGTAACGGTAACAGTGACCATACAGCTCGAGGGGTTTTTCACCCTGAAGGAAGTAAATGGAGGGGGGAGCGTGTCGACACTGAGAGCTGACATCTGCCAAGGTCAAATAGGGTTTGGGGGCCTACTCCTGAGACTGCCACTTGAAGGAGTTTAAAAATATGCCAATGTTTTTAAAACAACCCACACAAATTACGGAGCTTATACAAGTTATACAAGTCTCCTGAGATCAGTGGGTAGAACCACTTACTTTATAGATAAGAAAATCCAGGTTAAGTGACCCAGGTAACACTGAGTCAGTGGCAAGACCTTAATCTTACAGATCCTCCCAGAACTCCCCAGTACAGCCAAAGGCCTTGGCCTGTGACTCACTTGATTTGAGCAGAGCCATTGGGCTGACAGGGACTTGACAGAACAACTCAACTCACCTCCTCACTGGATGGGACAGCCCCTTCCTAGGATCAGCTCTATCCCCCATCCTCCAGAGAACTCTCTGGAGAATAGAAGGCCAAGGGAGAGAGGGACAAATGAATTTAGGCATCACCAAAGAAGAGACTTGGATGTACCTCATTCTGGAAGGCATTTGCCACAAGCAGAGGCAAGAAACTGACACATATGATGGCTTTTCTGAATCTCCACCATTTGACTGTACACACAGTCCTTGGCCTAGAATCTGACCTCCTAGCTGGATTGCAAGGTTTTTCTCTGGCCAGGCCCTTACTTGCTTTCACTCTGCCTGCTCCTGGGTCACCAGTCCCATACCCAAAGCTGCCATAGCTGCTTGCTGCCATCGAAGGCATTCTGTTGGGCACCACCACTGCCCCCCCCACAACTTGTGCCATCCCCTTTATATCTACCCACTCTCCAGTGGCCTTGGGACAGCTCTATAGGCATACATTGTCTTGGGATGAATTTGGCTTCTCTCCAACATGTTGCTGCTCAGATCAAGTTCTGGATGTGGCCGTCTCAACCTGACCCGGGTTCTGGGGTATCACTCCCTTGTTACAGAATCCAGTGTTCAAGACCTCAACTAGTTTAACAGTGGGCAGGAGCGAGAACAATCATGATCTTGTACTGCCTAGCTCCCCAGCTTCATCTTCTCAAACTATTTCATACACACACACACACACACACACACACACACACACACACACACCTGAATCTCTAGCCACACTAACTGCCCTAATACCTTTGCACATAACACCACCTTCTCCTTTCAGAAACCCTTCGGGAGTACTTGTTCTATCACCTCAGAGAAGTACCTTGCTTTGGGCAAAGTACCCTGCTTTTATGTGCCCAGTGATCCTATGCCTATTCTTATGTCACCCTATGATATAGGAATGAACCATGGAAACTAGAGGAGGTGGACTGACTGGGAAGGGAGGCCCCATGGGAAAGACAGATGGGGGATAAAATACAGAGCCAGAGTATGAGGAGAAACTGAATGCATGAGGAAGGAACAACTAGCAAGTGTCTGGCATTCTGTGGTCCACACTTAGCACAATAATTGAAGGGACAATAGAGCTGAAGGGGCAAGGTAAAAAAAAAAATCCCGTGGGGATCCTTCTAGGACTGCAATGTGAGCAATAGAAGACCCCCACCAGGAAGGCTCTTATTCTTGGTCAGGTAACATCCCACCTCCCTCCCATAGTCTCCTCCTCCTAATCTAAGATCCAGCCCTGGCCCTGCCCACCTGGTCTCCTTTCCCCCTCCTCACTTCACTTCTTATCCTCCATCCACAGAACCCTTCATTTATTCTCTTCTTCTCAGCTCCCTCTCCCATCGTGGTCTCTGTACATGCTGCCCATGTTGTGTCTTTCCAGGTTGTTTTCCAGTCTGGCTCCTCCTTGTGCTTCAGGCCTCAACTTAATTGTATCCTTCTTAGCAGAAAAGCTTTCCCCAACAATCTGAGCTACAACACTCCTTGTCCCAGCCTCTCTCCATCAGAGGACCCAGTTTCCTTCTTTTCTGGGCTTATCACAAATGAAGAAGCACAAATAGAGCACAGTCATTAGCAGCACAGGCTCTGGACTCTGACTGTCTGGGTACTGATCCCTGTTAGACCACTGCCTGGCCAAATGACTGTTGGCAAGCTATTTAACCTCCCTCTGCTTTAGTCTCTGCTCTGTAGATCTGAGATAATAGCACCTCTCCTATAGGGTTGGTGTGAGAATGAGACAAGTACACATAAGGCACAAGAACAGTGTCTGCACATTTTCAGTACACAGCAGACACTAATGGTTATCATTATGGTATTGTTGCTATAGTGTTTATTCATTTGTACACCATACGGTCCCTAAGGATGAGTGCTCAGGGGCCTGGCCTTCTTGCTCAATGTGGGTGATACCTACAACTGGTTCATAGAAGGTACTTATATATTGTCTCTAGGCCCATGGCTCTTGCTTACTTCCAAACTCATGGTTGCTTTGGGGAAAGATCTCCAGAGAGCAAAGAGAACACCCAAATGTTGCCATGCAAGGCCACCCTTGTAGGGGTGGCAGTGGAAGAGTTCATCCAACATCCTTTATCTCTGATAGGAGCTCCTGTTCACACCAGGGTACACCTTCCTCAGACATCTTCCATCTCCATTAATGGCAAAGGCATTCCACATCCCTCTCCTGACCCAGATCTTCATGCTCCAGATGGTTGCCAGAAAACATGGTACTCTGTTCACCTTCTCTGTTCCAGGATTGGTCTAAAAGATTTGATGCTATGGCTTCAAACTGAAGCCCATGAGGACCTACCCCTCGGCACTCATTGCTGGTCACATTTCCACTGTTTCCTGGCCACTTATATCTGCAGAGAGGATTGCCTAACATGTTAGGGTTTGTTCTGGATGGTGGCTCATGAAAAGAAACCTGGGCTATAGCAGGAGCCCAGCACAGTGTAACACTTACCTGCTGGTGTGGCTTCCCAGTTCCACAAGCTGCTCTGGTCTTATGGGGCTGCTCTGCTGCTCTGGGGTTCTGGGGGCTGCAGGCTGCTGGAAGGGTGCAGCTGGGTCCCCGTGGCCACCTCTCAGGACTGCAGGCCTCTCCTGCCAGGTCTCTCCCACTTTGGCAGGCACATTCTTGTCTTCAGAATCAGCCAAGGTGCTGAGGAACAGTGAACACCTTTATGGAATGAGTCTTTGGGACCAGTCCTTCTTCACCCACTGCATGCTGATGTCACCTATTGTGGCCATAATGGGCTCCTCTCCCAGAGGGTGGGGAAGAGAGGAGCCCAGTACGGCCCCCACCCCAGGGAGAGTCTATCTCCCTTTTGGGGGTATCCCAGCACTACTGCTCCCTTCCTACTGACAAAGACAGTCTCCAAGAACACATGATGACTTCAATGAGGTTTTAAAAGACAGTCTTCTTCTAGTTGGAAACAGTGGCATTCCTGTCCCCTTCTTCCATTGGCATCTTTTTTTTTTTTTTTTTTTTTTTTTTTTTTTTTTTTTTTTTTTTTTTTTTGCAAGGCTTCCCTGTCCCACTCCATCTGTCCTGTCTAAAAAGCCTCAAGCCATCTGGTCTCTTCCCCAAGCAGTAGTGTTCAGACGACTTATGAACACAGCCAGTCCTGCCAGTGCCCAGCTGTCTGGGAAGGAGCATCTCCCCTAGGCTCCCGTGGCAGGCTGGGTGAAGGTGAAAAAAGGGAAACAGACCATAATGCTCATTGGGTTTTCAAAGGGGCTAATGACCCCAAAATTGGTCACCAATACCCAAAGACTCTGGGCCAGGCCAGAAATATGTGCCTTGGCCCATTTGTGATCCTCAAGTGCCATCTGGTGGCTGGTATGGGCAAGACTGCAGCATAAGCCCTACCCAGTACATCCATTTTCCTTATAGATGGTCACATTTCCCAGCAGGCACCGGGGTCAGAACGCTTGGCTGCAGGAAATGGTGGTGCTCCCGGTGCGCACACACTGAAATGCGTAGGAGCCTGGCGCACACACAGGCAGGTGCATACGTATTGTTGTGGCAGCCTTATTTTCACAGCTAGGAGTATGTGTCTTCTTTATTGCTAAGTAGTCCTAGCTATTATTATGAGGTAATAGTATTTTCATCCTTTTTTTACGATGAACAATCTGGGGTGAGGGTCCCTTTGCAGGTCATAAATGGCAGTCAGAATGGAACTTCAGCCTCCCTCCCTGGGAGATGAAAGTGGAATGGAAGCAGAAGCAAGAGCTCATCACTTAAATGTCCGAGATAAGAGATAAGTATACAAACAAAAGTTTGAAAAACCTCAGTTTCTTCCCCCACAACAGCCAAACATTATGAAAGAGCTGTCTACACTTACTCTTGTGACTTCTTGACTCATTTTTCCTTGTCAACTCTCCACTGAAGCTACTATTGCTTCCCAATATCCCAAATTATCTGTGCCTAGTACCAATATCTGGTCTTTTAGCCCCTGCCCCCACTGGGGACTCTCCAGAATCTCAGGGACCCCAAAAGCAATCATCTGAAGCTGAAAAACTTAATTTGAAATGCTCTGGATATTTTATCCAGGTAGATGAGCCTTGGAGACAACCCAAGGGCTGTTTCTCTTGCTCCCTCACTCCTCGCTTACATACAGTCTCCATAAGATTACTATCAAGGCAAAAAAAATTCTTAAAGCCCTCCTCTACAAATAGTAGTAGGGACCTTTAGCCTTCATGTGGAGCAGGTAACCTCAATTTACCCATCCACCAGAAACACAATTCTCATAAAAAATAAAGTGGGGCAAAGACAAGAGCTAACTCATAAAACCAGTGAATTTGTGTGTGTGTTTATACCTACTCATGGCTGAAAATTTAGAATTAAAGCCATGAGATCTCTGCTTGTGTTTGTCTATATGTTTATGTATATATGTTTGTGTATATATGTATGTTATATATGTATAATATTTTCTTATCTCTGGAGAGTATACCAAATTAATTTATAAAATCCCTTATCTTCTATTCCAAATAACTTAGAGATAAAGAAGCACTTACACAAATTAAACATTCCTAAAACTTTCATAAATTAAAGAAACAATTTCTAATACTTTGTAAAAAAAACAGTATTCTTATAAAAACTAACACAAATGGCTAAAATTAACAACACTGGAAACAACAGATATTGATGGGGATGTGGAGAAAGTTGGTGGGAATGCAAACTGGTGCAGCCACTATGAAAATAGTATGGAATTCCCTCAAAAAGTTAAAAATAGAACTATCCTACCATTCAGCAATTTCACTATTTGGTATTTATCCAAAGGATATAAAAATATTGATTCAAAGGGGCATATGAACACTGATGTTTATAGCAGCATTATCAACTATAGCCAAACTATGGAAAGAACCCATATGTGCATTGACTGATGAATGGATAAAGAAAATGTTGTGTGTGTGTGCATTTATATTACTCAACCATTGAAAAGAATGAATTTTTTCCATTAGCAACAATGTTGATGAAGGTAGACTGTATTATGCTAAATGAAAAAAGTCTGTCAGAGAAAGACAAATTTCATATGATTTCACTCATATGTGGAATTTAAGAAACAAAAGAGATGAAGATAGGTGAAGATAAAAAGAGAGAGGAGAAAACCATAAGAGATTCTTAATTTTAGAGAACAAACTGTGGGTTGATAGAGCACTGTGGGTGGGTGATGGGCTAAAAGGGTGACAAGTATCAAGGAGGGCACTTGTGATGATCATTGTGTGTTATATGTAAGTGATGAATCACTAAATTCTACACTTGAGACCAATTTTGCCATATATGTTAACTCACTAGGTTTTAAATAAAAACTTAAAAAAGAAAACAAAAACCCAAATATTTTAAAAATTCTAGTTCAAAAACTTAGCTAAATCTTTGGCAAACAAGACTAGTTTAATATTCCTAATTTAATGAAAACAGCTGTCTTGTGAGTTATCAACCTTACATATAATAGAAGCACATATTTTAATTTTTTAATATTTATTTTTTTCAGAGAGTGCAGGTGCATGAATGGGAGATGGGGCAGAGAGAAAGGGAGACACAGAATCAGAAGCAGGCTCCAGGCTCTGAACTGTCAGCACAGCCCGATGCGGGGCTCAAAACCATGAACTGCGAGATGGTGACCTGAGTGGGAGTCAGATGTTTAACCGACTGAGCCACCCAAGCGCCCCACACATATTTTTATTATACTTGAGTATAATCTTCATAAATTTAAATGGTTTAACTAGCCACGTAAGCTAGTATTACATCTACTAGATGTAATATAGTATTATATTATAAAATGTTATTTTACATTTTATATATATAATCTATGTATAGACTATAAAAATATAAATTTGCTTTTAATCAAACTGAGGCATTATTCTGACAAACTATATTTCAGCAGTAATTATGTTTTATAACATGTCAGCTTAAAGACAGTTTCCAAGATCTTTTTGGAAATTTAAAACCTTAGATTGATGCTAAATTAAATTAACAGATATTTACTAAGTACCTAGATCATTTCTAAGTAAGATAAAATACTGAAATATTAGTTACTAAGCCTAAGTTTAAGTTTATATACTTCTTGCTTCTTATTTTTTATAGTACAGAGAGGTTGTACATACATTTGTTAATAAATGTGTTCATTTGTGCACACTGAAAACTTATACTATCAAAAAGTATATAACTATAAAGTTTTATAAGATATATATTCATAAGCTTTACTAGTCTACTGAAAAATGCTGGTATATGACAGATAATTCAAAATGATCTACATCTATTTTTCTCTGTAAAATAAAAGTTACTAACAGTTTAAAATTATAATCAATATGTATAAATGAGACTACTAAAAGTAATAAGGCAAAGGAGAACAACTTTGTATGCAAGGTATGAAAATATGTTTTTGTTAAGGAAAAAGAATAAGTTTGTCCTAAATTAAAATAGTGGTTCCAAAAATTTTGTAAGATGAAATGCAAGTAGATTTAAAATTATAAAATGTTTACAGAAAAGAAATTTTATTTGCCGTGTTCAAAATTTACTAAAATTAAATGCGATTATTTATAGTATTTTCTTTTTTTTTTTAATTTTTTCTTAACGTTTACTTGTTTTTGAGACAGAGAGAAACAGAGTATGAACGGGGGAGGGTCAGAGAGAGAGGGAGTCACAAAATCTGAAAGAGGCTCCAGGCTCTGAGCGGTCAGCACAGAGCCC